AAGAAGTTTATGGTGTTAGTTACACTGTTTGATGTGTACGAATATAACTGGCTCCTGCTTAGGCGGAAGCGTTTCGGTGCATTTTTTTTTTCAGAAAATGGTAAACAATGGACTGAGATTTTATTTGGAAGTTCTGTAATCTGTATGTTAGTGACATCTAAGTTTATTCAAGGACTAGAGACGACCATGCAGTTCACCTTTCAGCAGTGCTGCAAGCGCTCAATGATGCACAACTAAAAAATAAATGAAAAAAAGCATGAGTTCTTCAGCCAGATCGTAGTATTTCTAGGCAGGCGCTTTGATTGCTAGAAAAAAAGTACCAAGGAAGAAAGTGTGTAGTGAATCGGGTCTTTCGCAAAGCCCCATGACATTCATTTCCTTCGTATGTTTTTAGTTGTTGCAGGGCACTTCAGAGCATTTATAAAATGACTGCGCAAAAAAAAAAAACAGTGTCTCACAACCGTAACACAGAAAGACATTCCGTTCATATGGTCTGAAGAATGCAAAGGTTCTGCATCGACACGTCCGTCACTGGCAAGTATGAGCCGGCTACACATTGTGACAATGCCCAAGCACCAGCAGCACACTTCAAAAACCAACGAGAGTGGGCGAGAGAGCGCTTGTCTGTTCTGCTGGGCCCCCACTTTCACAGAGTGGAATGGCGGCAAGATTTTTATGTTCCCATTGAACTTACTGGTTTATTATTATTATTATTATTATTATTATTATTATTATTATTATTATTATTATTATTATTATTATTATTATTTAGGATTACAACAGATCTGGTGAAAGATGCTGTGTGAGGGCAGATCATTCTTTTGAGGGCTCGAGTTGCATCCAGTGCGTAGGATGATTAAAAAGCAGTCTAGCAATGTGATGCAGCGGCACGACGAGGTAGCATCAATGAACATCCATCATTAGAGGCTGCAAGCAAAGCAGGGTAATCTGGGCTGGCAGCTGACTTTCACGTGGCCAGTTTTTGGTTAAAACCGAGTGTCGTACACAATATGTGGTAAAGGTGTTGTAGCACACTATAAGCCGCACATACAAATAATGAGTGGCGATGATGCTCTGTCTCATCTTGTCCTTTTGTTCATGTATGTTGAAGTGGGCTACCGCCTTTGTCATTATCAACTATCACTGTGCTTATTCACACATTCTTCCAAGAAAAATTAGCATGGTTTCTTTTTTTGCTGGTTTGAGCCTCTATATGATGAACCAGCACCTATGAGCTCTTTGTTTCTTTCCAGCTATGGAGTTAAAGTGTGGTGCATTGATTCAACAGCTGATCAGCTGAAATGGCATAGTCAAACATGTTGCCCAGTCATTTCATTGAGTGTTAAAGTAGCCCTGCAACACTTTTTTCAGCATGGTGGAAAGCACTGCCAGTCAGTAGTCGAGGTTCCCGAGAACAAAGGAGCGGAACATTATAGCACAGCGTGCGACCTGAAATTATTAATGCTCAAAGTCAGGTCGATTGCTTGCTCTTCTCATGGCAAACGATGCCATAAACCCTAAGCCTATGGATGCTGGCTCATTTGAGCGTGGTGAACTTTTTGCCCCTCTTTTCATCCCCCCCCCCCCTGCACACTCGCAGGCATGAATGAAGGGAGAAAATGCTTTGGTAAAACCCTGCAACTCCACTTGTATTCTAAAAACTTTTGCGGCTGTAAGTGCGGAAGGCAATAAGTTCCTTTAATAAAGCCACTTCATGATTACTTAAAACAAGTTTTGCAGGGCCCTTTTAACAGTGCGATGTGACACACTTTTAGAAAGTAAATTAATGGAAAGGAATGCGTGATCATTCTTTTTCTCATATTGACAGTGACTAGAAATCTGGTAGTTGTCTGTTGCATACCGATGCTAAAAAGTGACATGTGCATAAAAGGGGACTTTAGGAATTCCAAGCTGTCAGTGAGAGCTTGTCGCGATTGTTTGTTCACCATATAGCATGATGCTCAGTGTTCCTAAAGAGGAGCATTTACTGCAAACTGTTTCACAAGTATGTAAACTCCCTTTAAGACGAACTCTATTATGACGAATTCTTGGTGAAGACGAACAACACGGAGGTGCTTGTTTGGTTTCTCATAGACCCAATGCAAAAAAAATCTGCTTAAGACAAACTGCTTAACAGGCCTCTTCTGTCAAGGCGAACTCTCACAGCGACCAACAGTGATGGGGATTCTGTGTAATGAACATTGTAGTCTTGGTGGGGGCATTCAGGCAAACAAGAGAAAGCAGATTGAGCTTCCTGGCACAAAGACTCAAAGAATATCGAAAGCAAATTGCAACGGGGATGGAGAAAGTGATATAAGTGAAAAAGAAAGCTCAGAGCATAAAGCTGGTACCTCCCTCACCCCCTAGCCTCTAGGTGGAGAAAGGGGTGGCTTTATCAGTAAAGAAACAAACAAAAAGTGTTCATTCTTTTGTATTCTCCTCTCGTTCTTCTGTTCCCCAACAGGAGTACAGCGGAGAATAGAACACAAGAGCTTGGCTAGAGGAAAAAGTGCAAGGGAAGGGTGGCGAAAAAAAGCCAAATGAAAGGGAAGAAGGGAACAAAGAGTGTCTACACATTGTAATCACATGAAACGGAAACCACATATGTGGCATTAGCATTCCCATCAGAGGAGTCAGATGCATTGTTATCGCCGTTACACAATGGCACCTGAGCACATGCTGGGATCAGTTTGCGTTGTTTTGCATAGGGTCTGTGCGTGTCATATCTGTATCTACTTAAATGCAGCAACTTGTGGTGCACCATTTTCGTTATGGAAGGGCTTGACAAAGGAAGGTCATTTTGCATACAAAATATAGCTGCATTATGTCTTCTTTGTGTGCTTGAGGCTTGTGATCGTGAGTAGCGTAAAGGAAAACGTTCAGCTGCATATCCTTCAGGAAAAGTCACTGCAGGCTGAAAATAAGAAAATATCCTAAAGGCAAAGAAAAGTTTGCAGACTTTCATAAGCAACTTGGCATATATTGGCCTTGTCAAGGTAGGGGTGTGCAATGGAGGCGTATGCAAAAGTGATAGCGAAGCCAATAAAGCAGCCTCTCAGAAGGTGAACAGCCAGAAGAACAAATTTTTCATTCTTTGCTGGAAAATGGCACTTGTCTCTCCCTTTTTATCTTTTTCTAGGGTTGTGCTACAGTTTTATTGTTAAAATGTAGTAGCAATTCATGAACATACTTATCAGTGATGGAAGTGCTGCTCCAATTGCTCTAATGTGCTCCAAAAGAGAAATGCTGCTCGAAAGGGCAACATTTGCTAGTAACTGTTTCAAACCTGCTCCAAAATGGTGTTGGCAAACTAAAAAGAATGAAGTTGAACCATGGGACCATCCCATGAGCCTAAGCAAAGCCAAAAGCAAACTGTATACACTATCATCCTAGTATGTCACTCAGTGGTGTAAATCCAAAAATATCTCAAGGGGTCACTCATATCAGGCCACGATGTCCAATTCGTATTTGTAATATGGGATGTATTTCTATTTATAAAAAAATTAATCATGCTGTCAAGTGAAATTAAAAAAAAAAAAACAAGCATGTGATCCGAGCTCGAGCAATTGCATTGTTCTATTCAGTCTCTTTTTTTCACCTTTTTTCGATTTACATAGTTCACACAGCCGAAAGGCATTTAACACAGGTACGCAGTAAACAATAAAAAGCCTTTTAAAAAGTTGATTGTGCTATACTTGACTGTTAACTCAATTATATCACGTGCTAAAAGCTAAATCTTAAGGGGGACACTTGCAAGGGCTGTCCTCCCCAGTCTGAACATAAAAAAAGTCCAAACTCCCTTAACCCTTCCCTCCCTCCCTCCCTCCCTCCCTCACTCCCTCCCTCCCTCCCTCCTTCCCCCTCCTATGATTTACGGCAATGGGGCTACTATACGGCGTGTATACTAGCTGCATACCAGTAGTATACGGCATGTTTAATAATAAATATAAATATTTATTAGGTGCTTAAGTGATATTTCAGACTTCAGGAGTCGTTAGGAACATGCATCTGCTTGGAAAACATTAATAGGAACACTGAGCTACAGCATTGATTTCTGCTCCGGAATATGCTCCAAAAAGCAAAATGCCGCTTCCATCACTGATTTATTATTTAACTCGTGAAATTAAGTGCTAGTTAGATTAGTCTAAACACTTTTTGAAAGTATAGTTTTTGTCAAGCTGAGCCAAATAAATGCTTTTTCTTGTTTTTTCCCTCCCGATTTAAGTATAATTCGTTCAGCGTGTTCAAGCAACATATTTGGGTATACTTGGCATGTTAGTATTTGGGGCACTTCTGATAAGACGAACTCCTGATAAGACGAACAAATGATCATGGTCCCTTCAAGTTCATCTTAAAGGGAGAGTACTTACTGTGGCTGGCATAACTTATGCCAGCTGTCTAGAGGCATGATGAAGTAGAGACCTGCTTTGTGTCGCTTGGGGAATGCTTCTGTGTGCCTTGTGTTTTGACCTCTGCACATGTGGCTTGGTCTGTTGTTTCTTCTCGTCCCAGGTGCATTCCAAAGGAAGAACTCACTCCCCCCGACAACCCAATCTCTTGCCATCACTCAAACAATGTAGATGATCACTTTGCCATAGAGTGCTGCCGAGGTGCCGACTATTGCAATTATAACATCGTGCCGACGCTCTCCCCGTCGAGTGGGCCAATAGGTAAGGTATGAGAGAGAAAGAGGCATGGTCGGGGGGTCTTTTGGCACTCTCTCTCACACACACACACACAGACACACACGTACACACGTTCACTGACATGCTTCTGTCTGCAGCCCAGTGTGTCTTGTGGCCCAGGCTCATTGTAACCTCTTCTCTCTCTGTTCGAGTGGTCGTCCGGCTACCAGCTGTTGGGGGTAGCTGCAGGAAAGCATTTGTATGCTGGTGTATTTTTACAACTTTTGAGAGTTATCAAGAAGCATTTGAATAACCTGCATTGTTTCTTTTTTTTTTTCCTCCCTGTGTGTCTTTTTTTTCCCCCTTTTGTGCCAGGTGTCTCGACAAAAAAAAGATGTTCCCTCCTGACAATCCGGTGGCGTGTTCAAAGTCGGGCTCACACAATCCTACCCATATGGTCATAAACTGCTGCTCCAATTATGACTTTTGTAACCGCGATCTCCGTCCAACCCTTCCTGCGGCCACAGAGGCTTCAGGTGGGTCCTACTGGAAGGGCAACAGGAAAACCAGCGTTTCTTTTGCTTCTTGCTCCTGTCAGTGTGCCTCCTCACCCTTTGCCTTGTTTTGTCACTGCTGCCTGCCTCTTTTTTTCCTCCAAACTAACTTGTAGCCAAAGGTTTTTCACACCCACAAACAGCCGTTGCTCCATGGCAGTGTCACAAAGACCAACAAACATAGCTATTGTGAGAGAATAATTAAGCGGCTTTATACAAGCATGTTTATTGCTTTTTAGCGTTCTGAAACCTTTAGGCGAGCGTGCACACAATCCCGCTTTAATCAACGCAGCAAAGATTGCCTGATATCTTTACCCATTAATGTTGGTTTTTGACGATAGGGGTGGCCAAGGATCACTGAGAACTGTTTACCTCTTAAAAGGTGAGACTTCACTTCCCTTATGGAAAGTTGTGCACATCTCTATGTTGCAGATACGGCAGTAGAACCTTTTATGACTCCAACAAAACTAACCGGTATTGTGCCCAAGGCCTTTGTGCCATCTGGCTGGCAGTTCGCTGAAGTATCTTCGAGACATGTGCATTGCCAGCTTTAAAGGATGTCTTCAAATAGTTTGCCATTTGCACATTGGAGCATGTATACACTAAGTGCAATGTTGTCTAAAGCAGTGGTTCTCAGCCATAGATATGTCGGGGACCCCTTGTGGACTGGTGTAAGTGATGGCGGACCCTTTGCAACGGAGGGTAGGCAGGGGGGTACGTAGATAAACTAACACAACTGGAGCGTGAAACAGGTGCCTTTTATTGCTACCAAAAACATCAAACAAATTTGCAACATCACTTCATTTTGGACAGTTCATCAATACGTGGCGCAGTCATGCTTAAAGAAAAATGCGGGTGACGGTTTCGCGGATCATAGAAATGGCTTCGCGAACCCGCTAGGGTTCACGAACCCCCATTTGAGAACCACTTGTCTAAGGCATCGTGCTTCAAAGGTACGAGTTGGTGGTTTGAACCTTCTATATTAGTCAAATAAAATGAATTCGTGACTGGTGTGTACAAGGCACATTCAAGAAAATACAAGAGAGATAGTTGAAAGCAGCGGAATTTCTTGAATTTTTTTCACATGATTTCTTCTTGCACTTTCTTATATGGGACAGGCAGGGGTGCAACAGCTACACCAATTGCACCAGTTTGATATAATTCCGCAGTTATGCACAAAGCTGCGCCAAAATGCTTGACCAGCCTCAAATTTATCTCACGTGTGCTAATTTCAGCTAAAAATGGCGGCCACGTTGGCCATTTGCAGTTTGCATCATCAATCTATCCAAGCGGGCAGACCCTAATCCTAAACCACGGTGTAAGATATGTTCCCTTTGGGTCAGGGCGCTTGCAAGACTCCATTGACCAGATAAAGTAACAACGTCTCATGCCCATCGATCCTCTGACACCAGCATCAAGATGGAGCAACTTTAGACTGTTGCCGTAGCCACCAATGCCTCGCAGGAAATATGAATTTCCTAGTCGGCAAACGTTGTTATGGCATGTTGGCAAGCGTTTTTCACGCGCAAATTGACTGCAAACAGACGTGCTGCGAATGAGATGCGGCGACCACAGTGGTTTCGGTAATACATATCTGGTGCCGTCGCTGGGCCAAAGAGCACGCCATTGTTACTTTATCTGGTCAAATGCGCCTTGCAAGCGAGCCGAGTAGTTATGCTCAAAACCTAACCCCATCCTGAAACAAAAAAAAAAAGGAGGGGGGAGGGGGTGTAGCAGTGTTAGAAACTTTCTTGGCAATGTTCCAACCTGTGCGAAGCACTGCTGAAAGGCCACTTCTAGGCCCCATAAAAAAAAATTTAGTTAGACCATCTAAGTTGTTGTTTGTCCAATGAAGAGCATTATGCCACAATTGTTTTTTTCAATTTGTTTATTACACCCCGTCGCGGTGGTCTAGTGGCTAAGGTACTCGGCTGTGGCAGCTGCATTTCCGATGGAGGTGGAAATGTTGTAGGCCCGTGTGCTCAGATTTGGGTGCACGTTAAAGAACCCCAGGGGGTCGAAATTTCCGGAGCCCTCCACTACGGCGTCTCTCATAATCATATGGTAGTTCTGGGGCGTTAAACCCCACATATCAATCAATCAACCAATCAATCCATTTATTACGAGCTTAGTGTTTTTTTAAAGCGGCGTGAAAGCAAGATGCGATGAGGCGAGCTCGAAATCTATGATGTTTCCCACGTGCAGCCTTCGCAAGCCAAATCTTTTTCTTACCCTCTCCGAGATCCGACCAAGAGGTCACGGGCGCATGATGGGCTCGAACAAGCCCAATAGCTGAGCACGTTAGTGCCGTTTTTTTTGTTGACCAGCATTTTTTTGTGGCTTACTGCCTGTTTCTACAGGATGATTTCGAAATGCTGGCTTAGACGTGGTAGAGTAGATGAGCATAATGAGTGCTCAAACGCACAGAACCATTAATTTCTTTTTGAGGACAGGCGTCTGCTCGATGCGCTAACTGCGGGGACATGCGAAACGCAGGCAAATTAGCTCCGTATCTCGTTGCAATTCACTGGGGGAGGGGGGAAATGGAAAACACGCATTTTCTTATTGCGTTTCATTATCTCAGGTTTTATTCTCTATTCAAGCAACAAATTATATAAACTACACATGTCGTGTTAAATAATTTTCGCCAGGTCACATGCTACTGTTGGCAACGTCAGAGCACAGTTGTCTACAGAGAGGACCAACATCATAGCACTGCCGTGTACGTAGGGCGATTCCTATATGTACGTCATGCCCTCATTCTGTGAGTGTGCACCCGTGAAAGGAAGAGAGAGCAGCGTTCATATCGAAATTTGGCCCATTTCCGTGGCATGTAGCGTTACAAATTTTGGTAGATGTGATTGTGAACGCCCCATGTACGCATTGCACTTGTGTGCTCAAAATTGTCAAACCTAGTGAGTGGCCTCTTAACTCTTTCATTAGCACGCCCATTCAAATTGATCACCGGTGATCGACACTTTGGATTGTCGATAATAGCATGTTGAATCTGGTTCTCGTTCTCCGAGCTCTTTCTAATAATTAGTGTAGTCGCTCAACTTTACGAATCAATGTGGGTTGGCCGGTTTGGCCGCGTAGTGATTTTTGACAGACCTTTGCACGAACCAATGTGCATGTGTTGTTAGGAAATTGCACTACATTGCACTGGCAAACTTGACAGAAGTGTCTGCCCCTACTGCTTATGCTACAGCAACATGAAAGTTCTGTAATCAGAAGAAACTTGTCAAGTCAATATGAAATTAAGGTGTCAGCTCTGCAATTTGACAGTGTTGAGCAATAATAAGTGACAGAAATTTATGCCAGCTATTCAATAGAGAACTATTTCTAGGAGTTGGGGAATATTTATTCTACAAAAAAAAAATATTTCCGAAGGTCTGCTGCATGTATAATGCCAGTTTCCAGCAGCTTTGGTTTCACTTGTGCTGTTATACCAGACACAGGGCTGCATCTAGTGTCACTAAACGTTCCTATGCGTCGTCATGCACGCATGTGCTGCAGAAAGCCCGTCGCTCAAAACTGTCTTGCAACTGCACCTGAATTGAGTGAGGACGAGCTTAGAGTCCGAGGATGACGGCACCTCAGCTTCAAGTTCTATGGCGATGATGTTTCGCGTCAGCCTGTGACATCCACAGTCGTTCATAAATTTGTTTTATTTATGGCGTCAAGCTGTTTTTTCCGCTGCAAGTGCATAGCTGTTGATCTTTGGGCACAATCTTATAGGTACTGTGGTTACGTGTGAGGTTTACTGAACATGATCTTATTCTTTTTTTTTAATACGATGAGCAAAAATGCAAAGAAATATGCTTGGATGCATATATTGGAACGACGCCAACCTATGTGGAGTGAGGTGGCTCATGGAAAGAGGTCACACTAGACGAAATAGCAATGTTCATTGGGCATCTGATTTTTAGCGGGATTATTCATATCATGGGCATCCATCTATATTGGAACACCTGCAGGCTCTTATCGCAAAAAAAAAGGAATAACAGAAATTTACTGAGGCTCTCTGAAAACCAAGCAATGGTTCACCGCATGGCACAAGCAATGAAGCAGCACCTCGGTTCTGATTTTCTTTGTGTATGTGAATATAAACATTTTGCTGAACATTTACTATTCTTTATACTGTTCCCGGGTCATTTATCTTTGAAATGTATATTCTGTAGTTTTTTTTTATGAATATTCTTGTATATGTTTTTTATTGCCCTGTTTACCCAGCTGGCAACCAAAAATTACGCACTTTTCACATTTCATTCATTCCAAAATATTTTTGTTGCTCTACAACATATATTTTTTGAAAAAAGAATTTGATTGTGCAAAATTTAGTATGCTGAAATGCCTGCTGGAGTACTTTTCAAACAGTTACGTTCCGTTTGGTTCTTTCCACTCGCCTCTCGCTTGTTGCGCGACATTTGCTGCTGCCGCCAAGGAAGCCGAAGACGAGAACTTTTCATCTGCTGGCACCTTGAGGAAACGACCGCTCCGACATCATCTGGTTATAGAGACGTTTATTCGTTTCTTTTTTTTTTTTCACTGTCCCTGCACTCCTGGTTTTATCCCCTGTCTCCACATTCAACCACTCTTACAGTCCAGGCGTAGCGTACCATTCTTACAGTCCAATCGGAACGCAAGGATGTGTCTCTCCTCTCCACAACCTCGAAGACCCACCGCCTCTTGCCCACTCATCGGTTCTCCGCCGTCGCTCAGGTTTCTTTCACCCCGGTTCCCGGAATGATCGACGACGGGCGTTGCCGGGTCATGGAAAAGCGCCTCCGAGTAAGTTCCCGCGATGCCAGGCTGACAGGCCATCAATACGATTGGCCCGTGTGCCAATGCCGTCGCCTCCACTGATTCTGATTGTCCGGCGGACGCGGACGTGTACCTTCCACGTGTACCGGCCACCTGCAGCCTGGCTTGGTCTCCTGTAAGGTGCCATAATTGCACCCCTTGGGGCACGGGAGTTGTCG